AACTACCTGCAGTGTTCATTATTAGGGGGGGACGTTTAGTATTAGGAGGAAGGGATTACCAAACTCTATTCTCAAAGTAACTCCCGCGCCCAGGGGAGGGCGATGCCTGCATGATGATCTTTCAAATCAAGCAGTTCATAGCATGTTTGAATTAAACAATGCACTAACATTGCCTAATTTTATTTTAGCTTGGCCCGCAAAAAAAATATCAACATATGTACTGTATGTTAATGTAGAATATAATATGTATATACACATGTTTTTTGTTTCTCAAAGTACTAAGATATTCAAAATCAAACCATTTGTAGATCATTCCCTGTGTACAACCTGTGTTTTCTACCCTGCATTTGTTTTTTTTTTACTTAGTTGATAAGTACCCATGTATTGCAACCGATTGAGTTTCTGATATCTTGGATGCTTTATTCCCCCAATTTCTTCCAAAACAGGCAGATAAAGAACCAACAAAATCGAAGATTCCCAACCATTTGGGGTATCCTAAACTGTGGGTACCCCCAGTTATCATCCATTTCTAGATACAATTTTCCATAAACCATCCACAGTTGTGGCCCTTTACCTTTATGGAATGTAAAATTCCATTTATAACTAAATGGCCATAAGTGCAGCTATTTTTCGATACGATGGAAACGACGTCCGTCCAACCGTTGTCCAACCGTCGCCTCTCGCGCATGGAGTCCAAAGAGCTCCGCCGGTGCAGGCGGTAATGCCTCCACACAACGCGCAGCTGCCTGGCCGCAGCTGGTTGGTAGGTACCCTCGGGTAAATAAACATAGACCCTGGCAGATAGGGATTGGAAGACTAGTGTCCATTAAAAATATGGATGATTTTCAGGGTCTATGTTAATTTACTGGAGGGTAAAGCCAATCATAACTGGTTGGTGGTTGGCCAACCCCTCTGAAAAATGATGGAGTTCGTCACTTGGGATGATGACATTCCGAATATATGGAAAAAATAAAGCTAGAAAACACCAACCAGCTTTGTAATGGTTATATAATATCTGGTTTATAGAAGGCTAATAGTCCACGATAAATGATGCTTAATAATGGTTACTGATGGTTCTATATGATTATATATGGCCATTGTATTGTTATATATGGTTATATGTGGTTAGTAATGGCTAATCATGATAATAGATATCAACAGTTCAAGATGGTTAGTAGTGCTTATATAAAATCTGATATTGTTTATATATATATATATATATCATAGTGAATGGTTAATAATCATTGGATATAATAGGTTCAAATGGTTAATTGTGGATAATCATGGTGTATACATAGATATATTATCTGATTGTTGATTGTTAATATTCAAATAGCTAATTAATGTGGTAAACACAAACATAAACCATCCACAACATCACCATTTTTTTATGGGTGACAGACACCATCCCCGGTCATGGTAGGTTTATGACAGCCAGGGTTCTCAATATCATAATTCATGGGGATCATAAAACAACAAACATGACTATAGTTCACTGCACCATCTATTATCATGATTAGCCATTACTAACCACATATAACCATATATAAGCACTACTAACCCATTTGTTGGTGTGTATTTGCAGTGAACATAGCTTTTGTGCTTGGGAAACTCTATTCGTAGCTCCGAACCGCTCCCCAAACACTGGTAAACGTAACAGAGTTAACAATTGGATTCAAGCATCAAACATTGAGAGAAAGACAGTGATTTACCCTCTGGATCCCTCTGGTAATGACTAACATAGTTATTGAACAAGCACTATTTTTGATAGGTACGGTATATCATCATAAATCTACACATGGGTTATTTTCCATAGCTGTGTTCAATTACCAGAGGGTAACCCACAAAAAGAAGGACCTATCACAGGTATATATAGATATGGACAGCTTTATATCATATACTTTTGGTGGTGCCGAATAGTGAGTTAGGTTGGTTTATACCTGGGTTAACTACAGGGCTGTATGGATTGTGGTGATTGCAATTACTGTATATATATAATATAATGCTAGTCAAGTGTGGCAATAAACCAAGTCAACTAACGGTGGGGCTATACTGGATATATCCATAGTTCATTTGGTTTATAGTTTATAAATCAACACACATTACTGGGGGCCACCACCCTGTATGGATTCAAATACCTCCTCAGGAAGTGTTTGGGATATGATTTTGGTGGCCAGCCAAACCTTGAAAGAAAGTGTTTGGATCCATGTATATCAATGATCCACAGAGTATCATATCTGACAGCATATGTCGTTGTTACATACACCTGTCTGTACTATCCTACAACCATGGCTGAACAATGACCCACGCACAGGACACATGCTCTGCGATTCCTAGATACCCGGCAAGCATATACACAGCGCGCTGTAAGTCTATACACCTCAGACTGCTCCAGCTTTCTGCTCCCACCTCCTTTCCCAGCAACGGGTGGCTCTCATCATGCGGCAAGTGAAAGTCCAGGTACTGACGTAAACTTCCTGAGTTCGGGGAAATCGTTGAACATAGGCTATAGACACGTATACAGCCCAAAATGACTGCTTCAAGGGAATCTGGGGATGAACCATTGATTTTTGTGGCATCCTATTTTTGGTTGACAAGACCAATTTCATTTACTACCAAGAGATACAAAGAGAAATGGAGATGTCATTTCTGTGCCGGCGAATGGTGCTAAAACCTTGCTGACCTGACCACTTCATGAAGAACGCGTCTTGAGTTCCCGCAAAATCATCCGAAATCCGAACTGCATCAAACTTCAAAACAGCCAAGCTGTCACCCAAACTACGGTAAGCTTTGGGGCCTTTGGTGCAAGACAGGTCCAGCAATTGGAAGAGGTCTCATGTGGGAAAACCAACCAGCTGATGTAGCTCCCTGCGCCAAGATCATCATTGCGACCATTCATTCCCCCCGTCCAAAACAGTACAGGACTAGTATTGTGCGTGTGTAAATATGTTACTCTGTGTATGTTAACCACATCTCACCTATCAAGCACCTTTTGCAGGCCATATTCGCCTCTCTTGAATCAAATACAATAGTATCTGCCAAAGTGATTGTCATTGCATGTCATTGCCAAAACATTTTGGGGCGGTTCCTATAAAATATCGCGTCTAGTAAACTTAAACATACATGTGGAAATCCACGAAGAAAACCAAGACATATGATCTACACATGGTGGATGTTCCATTTCTTCAAATAGCGGAGAGCAAGCCATCCAAGCCATCAAAGCCATCCAAACCATCCAATATGAACGGTTTATCCAATGGATAACTACGGATGGGCTCTCCAGTAAATCCCACCTTGGGATACTCAACTGGTTGGTGGTTGACCTACCCCTCTGAAAAATGATGGAGTTCGTCAGTTGGGATGATGACATTCTCAATATGATGGGAAAAATAAAAATGTTCCAAACCACCAACCAGTATTTGTTGTTATATATATATAACCCAAGTTATGAGATTGTCTGAGACTAGCCCCCGAAGCGAGTCTGAAACATCATCATGCTCCCATTGTCCCGTTCTGGTGTAGCTGGATGAGGAGAAATAACCATGTAACTTAACATATAGACACCCATATCCCAAGATGGTCAATCTTTGATAGCCGGCTATATTCCATTTTATCTCAAAAAAACTATCGGATTCAAGTACCCAATCCAAGGTTGGATCTCCAAATCACTCTATATAAGTCTGGTCAGACTTAGATATGGTTGGTTGATTTTAGTTATAAGTTGTAATCACCTTAAATCCAACATTACCATCATCATACCATAGACTTACCATAAACTAATTGGTCTTGCCACATACACTTACTGCCAGTGCTTAAATCCAACAATTACCCTCTGGTAAACAAACATAACTATGGAAAATCACCATGTTTGATGGGTAGCTATGTAACAAATTACCAGAGGGTACATACACTTACCATCATCATCTGGTTGGTGGTTGACCTACCCCTGTGAAAAATATGATATAGTCAAATGGGATTATGACATTCCCAATATGATGGGAAAATAAATAATCATGTTCCAAACCACCAACCAACTTACCATCACTTACCATCGTCATTTATATCATAACCAAGGGAGTGGATCTAACCACCGAGCGTCTCGCGCGTTGGAGCTGCAGCTCAGACATCTCCTGGTATGGGATCGAGCTGAAGCGAGAAAAGCTGTCAAAGTTGGGGATTTCACACTGAACAATTACATGGTTTAATGGATTTGATATGGTCGAAAGTTAGGATTTAACATGATTTAACCACCAAAACCCAAAAAAACACCTTCTGACACAACGTATTTAAGGTTTCAAAACGCTTTCTCAGATGGTATTTGGAGCACTAGTGAAGTATCAAAAACAGGCTTCGAGCATTGAAAGTTACCCTGAGATTGATCCAGCGCAAATTGGCATTTAACCACTTAGAATGACATAGCAGCCAAACAGATACAGGGATCCAGGGATATAGCATGATGCTTCGCCAATCTGCTGGTAGCGACAGGTTGCAATGAAATCTGCGGTATTTTTGCTGCTTCTTCCTGGGGTCATCCCATTTCACACACCACGATCTTGCAGGTGAAAGATTAGGAACTGGTGAATAGCCAGGGCTCTTGAAGTACTCTATGGCTTAATGATATCAGTGGATATAAATGGTACAATTTCGGTTCCAGTTCAGAAAGTGGGGTACCCCCGAACGCATCCAAGATTAACATACGATCAACATTTATAGATTTATTTAATATAGTATAGGGATACCCCAATTTAGGAAAACACCTGGGTTACGACCCCACTTGCCTCTGATCCACAACCCACCTGGTCCCTCGCCCTCCTGACCTCGTCGTCCTCGAAGCATTCGTCTCTCAAGGCGTTTCTGAGGCTCTCGGAAGACCTGGAAAGGAGCTGACCAGTGCGGATGTACTCAGTAGCACTGTCTGTAAGAAATCCTTAGCAGAAAACATTGTTATTCCATTTGTGAGCAATACTAAACGAAGTAAGCGACCAATTTTGCCCAAGTATATCATCAAAAATCATGTTTATCAATGTGGAGTTTGGCATGAATCAACCATTGTCAACATGCTTTCCTCGTTCTGGAAAAATATTCCCACGTCTGTTTTCAGGTAGATAGACTCAGTCCTCGAAATTCAGCAAATCATTCATTAATATAGAGAATATTTAAGAGGAACATCTTCAGGAAACCATGGGTTTTGCGATTAAAAATTAGGGTTTCCTGTAAACAATTCCTTAAACCAATCCAATGAATCATGCGATGTTTAATCGATTGTGCTAGTGTATGTCTTCTGATCTCTTGTAAACTATTAGCATTGACATAATGAAACCAAATTCCAACATGTTTACGTATCTAAGATTAAAACAACAATTGTTGTATATATATATATATAGAAATATAGATTCCCGCTGAGATACTATATATATATATACTGGCTAGTATGTAGGTATCCCTACAGTCTGTCTGAAAATGGGGTATACGGTATACCTCAACATCCCCCCCCATTTTAATAGGAAAACTGGTGATTGACCAATATTTTGTAAGGGAAGCCTCTAAAATCTCATGAAATCCACATGTTTCTTGATTAAATCACCATGTTCGTTGGTTAAATCCCCCTTTTCGCTGCCAAGCCGCGGCCCCAGGAAGCGTTCGATCAAGGCGAAGAGCCGCTGCCGGTGCCAAGGGTCACCCAGATGTCCGCCATGCGTCTTGGTCCTCGAGTGGCGATAGGACCCAAAAAGGGGGGAAGCCATGGCGGGGTGCCAAGCTCGCTGGATGGTTTATACTGGAAACTCCGAAAATCATGGATGACTGGTACGAGGTACCCCCCTTTTTAGGAAACCTCCATATGTTTGATATCAAAAATGGTGGCAAATGTGTATCAAATATGTGTGAATTCCTGGATGGCACTGCTTATAGCCTTTATTATACTACATTTTTGATACAGACATGTTTGGTCATATTTGACACCCTCATCCAATAAAAATGATGCATAAACTATGTTTTGAGGCATTAACCCAATTTTTGATACATTTCATAGTTGATCATATTTGACACCCTCATCTAGATATATGTATGATAATGCGTTTATAATGTGTATCTATCATTTTTTTACACCATACTTATGTAGAGTATTTATTGTACCATTTTCCTACCCATATATATATACATACATATTATATATATATATATGTGCTATGAGTGTAAAATAATTTACTCAATCATCATTATATCATTTGTGCAAATCAAGATTTTGCAGCGGTACTGGATTGTTGTGTATTTGTTACAGTCTACATCCGCAGATGGATATCCATTCAAGATTTATCGTTCTTCTACCCATGGTCCAGCCTCAGCCTCTCAGTGAGGGCGTGACACGTGCTGGCTTGAGGTTGTGGTGTGCCTATGTCTATCCGAAGACTCCCGATTTCCTTTGGTTAGTGTTGCTTCATTAGATCCTGTTAATCTTATCATGGGTTGCGACAGGCGTTGTTGGTTTGCTATCTTGCAATCTTCTCCAAAAAAACATAAAATCCCATCCCCCTGATATTAAACAACCTCCAAACTGATCCCGAGTATGCGGAAATCCACTACTAAACCATGGATTCTAGAAGGTGTTTAATGTCAACCTGGGTTTCCGGGATGAATCCATGGTTGGTTTTTTCATATCCCCATGCTGCCGGTGCCGTGCTGTGCCGTGCCATGTGCCAAGGAACCGAATCCAATGCATCATAGCTTCCTAGGAGACCACAGATTTTGGCCAACATCATACTGGAATATGATTACGATTTATATTTAAAAAAAACATATGACTCTAATATGACTATTGAATTTTGGATCCTTAGATATTCATGGAACATGGTGAACAGATATTGTTAATGGATCATGATGGCTTAATATATATATACACATATATATATATATACACGTATAGTCTTATATAGTGATCATGAATTGCATGTGTATATATATATATATAATAATTGTTTAACACCTACAGTATTTTTTTTAGAGGCACGGGCTTTGGTTTTCTTGAGACTTGGGTCCTTTTTTGGTCGGCTTTTCAAGTCCGGACATCATCTGGAAATCAATGACCTAAGGCCATCTCAATAGGAAAAACTTTGTGGAAATTCACAATTGTCGATGCCTTGCCTATCATTTTTTGGAGTTCGTCACATTGTGGAAAAGAACATATTCTATGAAGAAATCGCCATTGTTTCGAAACCTGAAATCAAGGTAGCCAGATGTAGCCAGTATATTTGGCAACGGAATACCTCATGAATTAAAACAATGGTTTTGATGGCACTTTGGCCTGGTCACCTTTCATGACTTTTCAATCGGTCACCGAAAAAACGGTCGAACATGGCACTGGAACATCTCCGAAACCCTAAATCGATAGTGGATTTCCCATCTCAAAGAACTAGTGTTTGGCTGGGTGTCATAGTTTTCCGCTTCGTACATAAATGTAAATCACGGTCTTAACAAATAACCCAAGCCCACTCCATTTCACCAAGGATTTACCATTGTTTCATTGGTTGAATCATGTAAAACATTAGTTGTTTCATCGCTGTTTCTGTGAACGTTTTATCACCAAATACTTTCTGGCAAACGTCTGCTTAGCAGAATCGTTAAATTTTGATACATACGTCTATCGCAGTTCACCATTTTCTGGTTGGTCAACGGTCAAAGCCACTAAGACCTGACAAAGCAGGGTTTAGCAGTTTACCCATCACATGGCAAGCTATCATCATTTAAGGTTCTTTATCTCAAACGTGTCCAGGGAGTTTGATGATGTGTCCCTCTTATGTTCATAATGTTCGTATGGATATTTCATCCTCCGTGAATGTGCCCTACACTGTGGCTGACTGCATTCTATAAACATGTTGGTTTATAAAATGATTCTGAGGGTGCCTTTTTTTATAGAATGAATCTGAGGCATATTTATGGAATGGTCGGGCAAGTTTAAGGATCTGAGATTTCGATGGTTAAAAACACCAAAAAATAACTTTATAGAATGAATTGGCTAGTTACAAGTAAAAAAAAACAGGAGGAAAGCCAGCAGGACATGTCGGTTTATAGAATGCTATTTCAAGTGCATGTTTGGTCCAAACATTTCGAAACAAGTCTGTTACTCGAATCAAACATGACACTCCATGGGATTTATGGAATGCATCTACCAGGATGGTTAACTTCGATTTAACATCCATTTTTTGGAGCATTTTGGCTTTTATGGAATGAGTTAAAGGGTTGCAAAACCTTGGTTTTATAGAATGAGTAGGGAGGGTTCATGTACTTGCTTGTTCCAGCCGGTCCGATCGATTCCCCCCAAATTTGGGTTTATAGAATGATACCCAAAACTGCATTCCATAAACGACCACAAACTCATTGTATAAAGGTACATTAGCGGGGGATGATATTTCCTACAATGGTGGTACCCCCAGTTCTCATCCATTTTAATGGGACTTTTCACTATAAACCATCCATTTTGCCACTATTTTAGGAAACCCCCTTATTGTTGCCAACATTGGGAAAGGCCAGGAGCTGGTGGAGTCCAAGCTGCCCAGGGAGGATGGGAAATCAGCTCCTGTGAATGGGTCTCCTGCACTTTTTTCGCCACCAAGGGTGGTGTTCAGCAAAAAGTCGACCGTAGAACGCTTGGGATGATGAAAAGATGAGTTACAGTATATACCCTCTGGTAAACTAACCTGGTTGGTGGTTTTAACCATCTTGAAAAATATGAGTTTGTCAATGGGAAGGATGACATCCCATATATGAAATGGAAAATCAAAAATGTTCCAAACCACCAACCAGTAACAGTTTGCTGTTGAAAATTGCCATTTAGTTTGTTGATTTACCCATTAACAATGGTCACTTTCCATAGTTATGTAAACGTTTACCAGAGGGTAATCAACTTAACCACAAGCATCATGGTGCTTTAGCCATGGATTTGGGTAAAGAGGTCAACATCATTTGACTAGAATCGTGGCTTGTCAAATAGAGGTAACACCGGGCTATGTATTCAACAAATCAACGAACCATTTTTCTGGCGGGACAATTGGATCATGGAATCATGGAGGAGTGCGTGGACGACGACGAATGGTATATAAGGGAGCTATCATGGAATATATAAGGTACCCATACATTATATTTAATATTATCATAGATATAAGATACCATAAGGTGGCTATCAAACACGTTTTTTTTTTGTTGTTTTTTTTGCCGTTCCACCAAGACTTGAAAATGTGTTGCATCTCAGCCGGTGCTGCAGTGAACTGCCAGCCTTTTCAAAATGAACACACAGAGATCTTCGCTTCCCCTGTTCCAGGTGTTGATCGTTGTGCATATTGTTCGTGATGAAGTGTTTGCAAAATGGGGTGCTTTGTTGGGACGTTGCTATCGGGTCCACCCTTACATTGATTGATTTGATTGTCAAGTTGCCGTAACAATGTTGGAGTATCTTTGTGATGGTCATTACTGTGATAGCACACCCAACATTCAAGACCATCATGATTTGTGGGAGAGGGTATGGGTTCCATGGATGATTGAGGCCACTAAGACTAAAGCTCATGCTGAGGTGGAGAGTATTGATGATCCATTTATGAAAGGCATGCGGCAAACTATTGCAAATAATGAGGTGGATTCTGCTTAGCTTAAGCTCTCCTTGATTGGAACCCCACCTTTGGAAAAGCCACTGGCATCCAAGGTCTTGGAGTCCCCAGGGCAGTCAAGTTTCAACCTGCTATAATGGACTTTGCCAAACGTATCCCGTTGTTGGCCTGTTCTTTGTGCATGTGCCCCCTGCCCTGAAAATTGGCGCTATGCTTGCAATCGGTCCAATGTGGAATTCAGGCCATGTTGGAACCACATATCGACTTTGCATTATATGCAAAAACCATACTACCCTTTCCAGTGAAACCTAGAAAAAAATCTGCCAAGTGCCAATACTATCTTGTTGATCAAAACCTGGAATATGCTGAAACTGAGTTTAAACTTTCACAGCACAGTTTTACTTGGAATCGTATTGTTAATTGGACTCGCCACCACCAGTGGGTCTCGTAATCAGGAGACCTGAAGGATCTTGGAAACAGCTTTTGGGTCCCCGCTGTTAAATTTACTGCATCTTTAGCCACCAGTGCCCTGCTGTGAACAAAGATTACATGGTATTTGTGTCACCCCAATGGGAAAAAGAGAAACATGAGTATGCCATTCCGTCCGTAGTGGATACACAAATTAAATGGGCACTAGTGTATCCACCTTAATTCGGATGCATTCGTATGCATTCGATCCGGCACTTCTCATCTTGCATCACCCCGTGATTTCCCGCGTAGCTGGTTGTCTCTACCGCTGTCACACAGCACTAGAGTCAAAGGCGGACAAAAATCCATTGTTGGAAGCGGCATTGACTCTTTATTTGGCAGGATGATTTCATTTTTGTTGGGCACAACTTTGGTCCCTCAAGGGTGGAACCCCCAACAAAATGGTGTGTGCAAGATGATTCTCAGAACTTGGATATGGCCATGAATGCTTGGGCGTGCAGTTTCACTAGTAAGTGTTCATAAAACTGTATAACTATATAGTTCGGAATAGGATGTCCTAGGCTTATATATAATCTTATAGGATCTTATAGGGGTGATGTCTCAGCTTCTGGGTTTAATCTCATGAACCATGGTTATAGACTATATATTAGACATGTTAGCCATATAGAACTTGAAAACTTTACCCCCAAGTATTGCTCCCATTGTTAAATTAAATGATGTTAAATGTATGGAGCTAAACGCCATCCAGAAAACTCTTGGCCTGGGCGAAGAATTGCACAGCACACTTGAAGGACCAGTGGGCTGCAATGTCCTGAGACTTGGCTGCTGGCCCATTAATGGATGAAAGGCATGACTTACCTTTCAAAAATGTGATTTTCCATGGCAAAGCGTTAAATTACTAAAGGGTATATCTTACAAAATGAACGTTAATAATGTTAGTAAAGCAATAGGAAACCATCAGCACATTTACATACATTTACCATACATGGGTGGTCATCAAAATATGGATGGTGTATTATTGGTTTACTAACATTAAGCAAATATCACGGAAAGGACATACAACAAACAACGCCACACCCCCAAGTGGAAAAAAAACAGTGTGAGCCATGTCCAAAGACATGGGCAATCTTTCATGCCCTGCTAAAATGTAATTCTTTAGCAGGATATGAGACATTCCCAAAGTAACAAAGAAGCCTGTGTACTCTTAAGCAGACTGAACCATCATTATTGGCTACAGCTCCCATATCGGTTCAAGACCCAGGACAACAAAATAGAAAGTAACTTATACCCAACCAGTCGTCTTCAACAATAGTATATTGCCCCAAGGAACCGAAGTAAGTTCACCATTCACCAGTCTCGAACTCTCAGTGGTTGTGTCCAAAGCCAACCAGGTATTGAAAAGTTGGCAGGACATGCAATGTTATCTCAAGATAGCCAACACAAAACCTATCATTCACCAAATGTCATCCATGTTTTTACGATGTAATATACAGTATGTCTATATGTTTGTGCATATGGGTCCTCTTCCAGTCTTCCCTCTACTCAAAACTCATCTGTTTGGATACAAGATCACACATCAACCAACCAAACTTGATTCATCCTGAATATATATATATATATCTGGTTGGCGGTTTCAACCCCTCTGAAAAATATGAAAGTCAGTTGGGATGATTATTCCCAATATATGGAAAACATAAAAAAAATGTTGAAACCACCAACCAGGTAACCAGATATGTGTTTTTTGGCTAAAAATGAGGTATCCGCAAATCCACTGGTTTTTGAGACAAACCCAAAGATCCGATAGTTGGTTGTATATTCCGGCAAAATCCCATTGTGGATGTTTAACGCCAATATTTGTATATTCACTATTTTTATTATATCATTCTATTCCATCATCCTCAATCATCCTGACAATATACCACATACAATTATGGTCATATGTTCCGTTATATCCCCATATATCCCCATGATACCAACTTTTTGGATTATTGTGGTCGATTGATTTGGTTTTTTCGCAGTTTCAAGCAAACCCATACCAAGCATCATAGGCCGTGCTTTGAAAGCAGCATTGATAGCGGTGGTAGCGCTCACCCAATACAGCGTGGAATAAACACAGTGAGAACCTTGGTGGAACATGGGAAAATGGGCTCTGACCACCAATGGCTTGAACCATCAAAGACCATGGCTGGGTTTTACAACAGTGGTGTTTTTCCACCTCACCATCCCTCGGCTCTAAGGGACATGCTGCGGGATCAGGAAACCATACTTTTACGAAGCAAATCATCTAGGCGAGCTTCTAAAATGTCCATCAAACCAAACCAACACAGGGAATTTTACCAGATTTCAACGTTGCCTCATGCGGTTTCACGATGTTTCACGCATTGCGGGCATCGGGCTTCCCACGGCACATCGTCTTTATGTCCCAAATCCGTTTCTATTTCACCTCCAGAAAGGGCACAGAATCCACCCTTTGAAACAGCCATTTGGCCATCCATCAGCTGAATATGCCGCAAAAAACCGAAGACCTGAGACATTCCTTTAACAAAAAGAGACCAATTGGTGAGATTTCAACAGAAAATACTGATATGATCTGATATGTACTGTATATAGATGTAGATAGTACATATCGACACTGTATATTGTATGAATTTATTCCTCCAGTGAACAATTCGTCTTTCAGGTACTGCACCCCATCATCAGCTCACTATTCATCCCCACAACTGCCAGGTAACAGTGTCTGGTACCATGGTGTCAGATCCTCCGGTTCCTCCACCTTCAACCTCAACTGAAAAATGGGGTCTGTCTGGGCAATTTCAATGAGGACAGTGAACATGTTCTTATAGAAAACATAGGGAACAACAATGATCAACCAGTGATTGATGTGGTTGATATTGTTCATTGGAAAAATATTGTGAACATGATCACTAACCAGTGGATGGACCAAATTTCAGACAAACCGAGATGTTGTTGAATGGGCAAGACTGGGAAGGGACACATCCACCGCAAAAGTTTGTCTTGGATAGAGTGCCCTACGTTTGGTGGTTCAGCCTCATTCGAGTGTATCCCATATCCGTGACAAACGCAAGTCACATTGTAGTTACATGTAGTTACATCATATCACATTAGTCATATCCCACTCAAATAATATCATATCTCATAAAATCCCCATGAAATGCTTCGTTATTTATATATATATATATCCCAAATGTTTGATGGTTAAGCTGTGCTCATGGATCTTCACCTGTGCTTCTATATATTACGGATGAAATGTTCAGAACTATGAAACAACATATAATTATATGTATATATATATATATACGTGCAACGATATATATGTTACGTACATACATAATCATATATATATACACACATAAACAAAGTTCAGTTGCCCCCCAAGGTATAAGTCGTTTGATATTACCCCTTCAACTCTAGATCCATACATCAACTTGAACGATCCAACAGCCATTATTGTAGTTATAAAATGCTACACACCAACATACCTCTCGAAGGCCAAACTTTGTGCTGATGAGCCGATGTTTTATGTTGGCTAAGCTGCCATTTTTTGATGGCCTCACCATCACGGCAGCTGGTTTGTAAACACAAGCATCATCACTCTAACATCTGCTTTTATACAAGCCCTAGCGCTCCCATTTTTATAGTGGAAAAAACATGAATATATTTGGGGGTATGATTCAACTTTAGATAAATATCCACCTTGAATCCAGCAGTTCTTGTAATTGTTTCAACCAACAAACACCGATCTCTTCGGGGATCCACTTTGAACCACGAAAAACATCGATCCAAACACCCCACGATAAATGGGGGGTTACAACCACCATAAAGGTGGGAATCCCGGGGAAAAAAAAACTAAAAACAATATGCGTTGAACTTGAGGATGTCTAAAATTGGATCGCAACAAACATGACCAAACTGCCATCTGTAAGCCCTGATCAGAACCTATGTTGAAAGGAAAGTCCCCGCAGAGCCATTGAAAAAAACAACGCAACCTGCTGCTGCGGCGCCGTTCCCATGCGTTGCTGCCCATCGCCAGCTGTCGCAGACGACCCTTGACGCCGATGGGGGGAAACATGGCCACCTGGCAGCATGGTCGCTGGGGATACCATGGCTTTGGGCTGCCAACTCACAGCTTTTTAATGGTTGAACAAAAGTTGGAGTTTACCCTGAGAAAAAATGAGATTGGTATAATATATATATATATATAGATATCCGACCCCAATGGGGGGGGTATAGCCAATAGCAATAATTGTTCAGCACACAGTTGATAAGTTTCTGTTGGTTGAGATAAGTACTGCAGGATAGAACTGTATAGAACTGTTGGATGCTGGCGGTATTACCCCCGAAGCATGGGTGAAAGTAAACACAGTCCACTCAAGGTTGGCTACCTGAAAAAAAAACATGTGTTTGATCCAGAAATGAATATATTTCAGAGGCTGGTTGGATGTGTAGTAGGAACCGTTTCAGTGGTGATGATAGCCAATTCATATATAATTATATAGGCATATCCTATTATATATATATATATATATATGGGTGAACTAACAATAGCCAGAAGCTGGTGGATCGGGAAAACATGCATGTTTATTGAAATAGGGGACCTAAATTCACCAAATGTCATACTTCATAGTACCCACATCCCAAATCACAATTTCTTGGGGTAATGACTTGGGCGTGCAGTTCGGCTAAGAAGTGGTTCTATAATGCTATAATGTTGTATAACGAAACCGTTATAGGGGGAAACGCCACACCTATTTATGGAGCTATTATGAGTTATGACCATGGCTATACAAATTTGTAGCCACAACTGCGCGCGGAAAGAGAGGTATAACACGGTATAAACATGGCCAATCTTAGATACCCTGCAAAAAAAACATCTTAGCTGGTTAGTAAATAATCCCATTGATTCAACTACCCATCCAAGATTGACCTAGTAAATGTATATACCATCTGGTTATTTAACAGTAACATAGCCATGGAAAATCACCATGCTATTAATAGGTAAACCATCTATAAATGGATCACTTTCCATGGCTATGTTAAATAACCAGATGGTAAATCTACCATCCATGCCCTGCCGAATTGCCTTTTGACACATCTCCACCACGCCCAGTGGGGGCATCAGCCCGCTGGTGGTGCACAGGACCAGGCGAAACATGCCGGGCCTGGGGCGTTGGAGGCGCACCGGTATCTGGGATATATATATATATATGTATCTGTATGTATATATATATATATATACGGATACATACATACATACATATATACATATAAGTAACCTTCATGATATGTCTCAATTATATGTTCATTACAACGTTCATGATGTGTGTATATATATGTACGTATATCTATTTCACATATTTATTTGATGGGGATACCATGGTATACCTTGTATTTACCATTCGGAAACCCAGATACATGACATAAAATGTGACAATCCAATCTATGTTTCCAAGTGCCTGACTTTGGTTATACCAGGAGCCCTTAAATAGAGGAGGCCTTGAGCTCCTTCAATCCAACACCAGGACGCCAAAAAGTAGGAACTAGGATTTCTTGATTACCAGAGCTCTGAAAATAGAACTGCACTTGGATGTGCTTAGGCTTAAGGGTCCCAAAAAACAATTATCAAAAACAAAAAAAAACACATCCTAGGAGATTCCCCAAATGGTGGCTTAACCAACCAAAGAAAACACATCTTCAGCGTTTCTCTCCAGGGGAATCCAGATGGGATTGTAATGTATGGATCACCGACCCACCATTCACGTTTGTTTAAAGAAAACACATGTACAGTAATACCTACCATCAGTATCCATCAGTATGGATTATAGTACTGGGTTACTCATGATGGATAACAATCAAAATAACTAATCAATGCCATCACATCCCAACGATATTGATCCCATCCATGTGATCCGGTCAATATATATATATGTAATGTTGTCCATTACGGATTATTAAACGACCAATCACTGGGGATTAATAACCAAACATAATCCGTCATATATGACTCTATATAATTATATATATATATAATTATTATTGTTATTATTATTATTACTATTATTATTAATATATATATATACATATAAATATGTATATTATATATTAATATATATATGCCTTTATTTGCTCACCATTGGTTTAATCTTGGCTCTGCTCATCTGAGGGTCAATTGTGCAGGTATTTAATATTAGAGGATATGATTATCGCGGACTATTAACCTACAAAGTGGCCCCCCCTAGATTGCTAGGCTAGGTTGATGTATAGTTCCAAGAACTATGGTTTATGATACTTATACACCAACTTAGCAATAACTATAGTTCCAATACCCCAATAACTATGGCCTATGAACTTGACATTGGTGTTTAAACCCCAGTTTCTGATACTTTTAACAAACTATTTATTGATTTGGGCTTTAAAAAACCAATGTTCACACTGGGAGGCCCCAAAAAATCGTACCATTCCCATCCAGTCCCCGCTTGGTTTCGGCACCCATGATGCGAATGCCCCAAGGTGGCGGATTCACCCTGCGGTCCCAAAACAGCGCCTCCATGGGACCCGGAGTGGGGTAGCCGACCACCAACAAATAAGGGGATCTCATATGATTAATAGCAGATGCATGACAGCTAACTTGGTGCACATAACGCCACCAACTATGTTTTTTTGGCACTTATAGCATCTTATAGCTATAGTCTATAATTGATACCAAGGTATAACTGCCGGGTGCCACATTGTAAAGTCATCACGTCCCATTTTTGTATGCGTTGACAATGGGGAGAATAGAGAGGAAATGATATCCATCTCTCATCTAGCATGTTGTTTCCTTAAATTGGCTAGGATAGGGTAGGTAGGGGGATATAATCGGATATAACTAGATTGGTATATATTATAAGTAGATAGGTAAACAATTCATTGAGTAGGTACAGTAGATAGAATCACATAACTATACGAAGAACCAACAGTAACGGGGTCGAAAGGCGAAAGGTAACCAGGATATGTGGATATTATATGGTACATATTTTGTTAACATGAACAATGCCCAACCATATTGTGCTATCGCTGTGTCCATTAAAACAAAAGCCCCAAACTGCGGATTTAAACAAGAAAAAACGGTAAACCACGCAATGGAATGGGGTTGAGAGTCGTGAGATCACCGGAAACAGTAGGGATTCATTTATAGGCTTGGTCTGGTAGTGAACAGCGATGAATCAAGAAAATTCGTCAAGCCAACAAAACATGGGATTTGACCAAAAACAATGTGAATTTAAGGAACAAAGGTTGGGATTTATTCAATCCAAATTGGATAACAACAGGTACAGACATGCAGTACTGCACTTTTTGAAGCTTGACCAGCCGAAAAAAAGACTTCCGTGACTCTCCAAAATATGGAATTCCCAACTCCCAACCGGGTAAAAAAACAACTGCAACAAGTCCAGGATCATGGTGTAAAAACACGGATGCATCTAATGTCAATTCAGTACAAGCACTGCAGAAGATAGGTTTGCATATTTTGAAGGAACCAGTTTCATGTCATGTCTGTCACCCTCAGTGCACACCTCGAAAATATGTAAGAACCATGAAGGGTAATTGAAACCTTAAATCTGACCCATGGTGATGTAGCTGTTGCCAGGGACCCAGGCACTGCTAAGGTAAGGCCGGTAAGGCGCTCGTCTTCGAAACGATCCGATCTTCACATGGCACAGATCCATCGCCGGCAGGTCCTACAGGTCCTTTATCTCGGTCGAAAAGACTGGACCTGGACCTACTGGGCCCTGGAGCTCTCAGGGAAGATGCCACATGAATTACCCCACGCATTATAATGATAATACAATGATAATATTTGTAAGCATAGAATGCCAATAAGAACATTAATATAATGATCATGGGATATCATGGGTTCAAAAGTTCCCATTTTGGGGTATCCTGGTATCCACGCCTCATGTACGCAGTGCGTCTCCCATCCACATGTCTGAAACCTTCTTGGTAACGGTATCACCCTACTTGTAACATGGACAATGGAAGTCAAAACAAACATTCACCAGTCAGCTATGAATTAAGCATTATGATTGGTGATATCAAATATGTTTGGTTGATCAGCCCCAATCAAATAAATATATAAATATATACATGAACAACTAAAGCAAACCAACCTACTATTCACCAATTGTGTTTGCACCCCGGTTTGAAACAGGCTTACATCTGGTTCCAATACAAGCATTGTTCATGATAGATGGGCAGTGACCCATATATATATATATATATCCATATATACATATATACATACATATATATATATATCCATATATATATATATATCCATATATCCGTATATATATATATATATCCATATATACATATGATATATTTCCACATATATAATACCCATATATATATATATTATATCCCTATATGTGTATATGTATATATATATACATTATATTATATAATAAATATGCTACTATTATCATTGTTATTCTTATGTGTATGATTATATTAAGGATCTTATTGATATTATATGTTTACAAATGTTATCATTGTATTATCATTATCGTTGTTTTCATTATTATGAGTATTATAATATCTTATTAATTGTGCATATACACAAATTAGTCTCTAGATACATACTTACTCTACTATTATGATGATTATTACTATTATGATGTATCATTATTTATTGTTATTAAATAATATTTATTATTATTTATTATTATTATTATTATTTATTATCATTATTATTTATTATTATTATTTATTATTATTTACTTTTATTTATTTTTATTTATTTTTATGTATTATTCTTCATTATTATTTATTATTATTTATTATTACTATTATTATTTATTATCATTATTATTATTATTTATTATTATTTATTATATTTATATATATATGCACAGTTATATACATATTTCTCTTTCTTTCTCTCTTTATACTATATATATATTGTACATAATATACTTACACTACATGCACATGGGTTACAAACCACATGCGACATGCGTTGCACCTCTATGCGCAGCTGCGCCTTCTTTTGTCGCGCCCAAGCACAGCTCCTGCCGGTTCCGCCCATCAAAAATGGGGATGTCATGGGATTTTCAGCTGATTTATGATAGCTAAGTTGGTGTATCACTCCAGTAACTTGGGTTTATGGTAGATATATCATGATATATCTATAGTCAATGGCAATGGGCTTTAAAAACCAACTTAAAACTATGGGGGCACCACCTTGTGATCCATCTATAATCATTGCCAATGATACCCTGCAAACATTTGGCGTAGCATTGGTAAAATTGATGTGTAAAACAAATATCTGGGAACTTAACATATGTCCCAAACCATGTTTGTTAACGGCCACTTGGGGATGATTTCCTCCAATTCCCATCATTGAACTGGTGAGGACATGGCTGGGTTCGCAATTCAATTACTAGAGATGTATGTATATAATGTAAAAGAAACGGACAATGGGGATAGAACATGATAAAATTTGATCATCATTAGTAAGTGGTTAGTAACCATAGTCGGACCCCTAGCTGCATACATCTGACTGACTTTGGTCATAATTCGAACAATTTGGTCATGGCGACGAGAAATACCGTCCTCCATCAGCATCTCTAAGTCGGCCAGAAAGTCCTGGCTCAGCTATCAAACATGGCCAGCTAGGTAACCCCGGAACTCAACGGAGGGACAGCATAATACCCATACATCATGGAGAACTTCCAGCTAGTAAGTCATGTTTGGGGATTGTGGCACTATTAAAATGGGGGATTAACCAGACAGATACAAATATATATATATATATGCATGTATGTAAATTTATAATTAACATTATATATATATATAAATATACATGTGGATACATAAATAGCGAAGATCAACAAGACATGAGACTTCATGAAAGTAAAGTGGAACACCAAAATGGGTATTGTTCATAACCAAACAACCAAACATCATCTACCAGACTTCCACAGGCTTCGGGTCATATCACCTGTGAATTTCCTCTCGGATACCATTCATGGATCCACTGTTTCAAGTCGTGGAGCTCATTTTGACGGTTTTGGTGACACCTTGCACGTCATTGTGCGGAGAAACTACAGCATGAACAAGGAACTTGTTTGCTCCATGAACAACTGGCTGGTGGTTTCTCTCCGCCTGAATTTATCATATGCTCGTCAGCTGGGATCATCCTTCCAAATAAAAATGTTGAAACAATCTTTGATAAATAAATATAAATTATCATTATGTATCCCATTAAATCCCTTTATATCCCCAACGTCTCTACATTGTTCTTTTGTTCGACAACCATTTGTGCTGGAATGTCAACGGCTGTGAAGGCTTCAGATCCACGTTGTTTCTTTGTGAAGTAAAAGGTGAAGCGTTGTTGTCATGCCTTGAATCACATTGGTCACATTATGCTGCTTACATACGACTACTACTTGGTAAACATTGTATTTTTCGGGTTTGACCCAAATGTCTACAGGTTAAATCCAAAGCTTCTAAGATTTCGGGCGCAACTGATTCAGAAACAGGTCATCTCTTGGCATATTTGTTCAGTTGAAACTCCAACAGCCCGGTAAGGTTTGAATGACCACGGCCCCAAGGTGCTATGTGTTGTGTTTTTTTCATTAACAGAATGATAAAATAAAGAATGAGTAAACACCAAATAAACACAATATGAGCGCTGCGTGATTCAGACATTTAAAAAATGCATGTTGGATTGATTTTACTAACTATGAACATCAAGATGTTGTTCACAAACATCGGGAGTCTACATGATTTTACTAATACCTACGAAACATCAATATCTATTTCCTTAAGACTCCGGTCAGCAATCATGGCTTGCGGGAAAAAAATGTGTTTCGATTATTTGTCAAGCTATACATCCATTTGATTAGGGGTTTTGCCAGCTAGGCATGCTTGAATACCAAGAGTGTAAACAATCCAGGATGTAGCAGAAACAACGAACATATCCTGAGAATCAATAGTTAAAATCTATCTCGTTATACAAACTCATCATAGCAAAACTAGATACATATAATTCATTTTTGACATAATCACACATTATATATACATAAATATAATATATGTGTGAACATTCACAAAAAATAAAATTCAATTCATCATTATTTACATCAATCTGAAGCTTTCAGTCATGATCAGAGAAGGCACCACTCCACCCAACTTCTAGGTCTCTCCAAGGTAGTGCTCAGCGCCAAAATCCGTTCATTCGCCAGCGTTTTGCGACCCCTACGAGAAACCAATTCGATGCCAAGTTGCTGACATCCAATGAGTCATAAGAAATTGCAACGTCAAGGATGCGTGCGGCGGAATTTTGATCATTCAGGAACCTGAAAATACCTGAAACGGGGTCATTAACCATCATTCCAGTGACGTCACAGTGAGGTCATTATAGTTCCTCCAGATATACATCAATACCTTTTAATTTAATATCTATCCTCCGGTTGTTAAATGTTGTTGAAAGTAGCTATGTAAATTCAACATTTTTAACAAGTGACTCATCATTTTTATCGTCTATAAATGGGACATTTTATACCATAGCAAACTGTTAAATAACCAGAGGCTAATTCATATATCCACCATTTAGATCCATTTAGTTAGTTTCCCAGCTTCAAACCTCTGGGCCACGGGGATTTTCCAGCATCCCAAGTAAATCCGCTAAAAAAAATACCCATAAAAATCACCATATCCGTGTTGTATAGATCACCAGTCTCCTATGGGTTTTCGCTCCTTAGAGGCCAGTTGCAGCTCAGTGATGAGCACGAAGGCACCCTCCAGCGCCGCCTCCCTAACCTAGCGAGAATGGAAATCAAATGGGAATGGGAATTTGAATAGGATTTCATGGGATTTAACGGGAGTCTAATTGGAATCTATTGGGATTTGTCGCACTTGAATAGGATTTCATGGGATTTCAAAGGATTTATATAATGGTCATGAAATGGGGATTTTTAGCAGCAATATGATATTTAAGTGATAAATATGGTTGTGTATGAAAAAACGGGTGTACCCCCATTTTTGTCAGATTTGGAATTGAAGATACCAAACAATTTCAATCAGAGCCAATGGTAATGTGGGAAACTCAATACTAACATGCTATATTTGCCATGGTATATCGCAGATATCGCATCCATTTATGGTGAAAAAAAGGGGACGGAGACGCTGCCACTTAAAAGTCCAGCACTGCATGGATATTTGATCCAGATATGTGTGCATGGTAACCAGTGTGAAATATGGATATAATTATACGTGTATATATATAGCTATATATACATATATTATTTCTTAGCGATGGACTATCACTTACAAGTAGAACATATTTTCCAAAATTCCAAGTCGCACACTTAGAACATCCCCAAGAGTCTTGGTACTACGTTCCAAGTTCTGCACTTAGAACCTCAAACTTCTTGGTATTTGATAGGTTTTAGAGCCGGTTGGGGACGTTCTAAGTGCGTGACTTTTCAATATTTGACGTTCTAATTGATCGCCATTTCCACCCCCGCACTTACTTTGGTATTAACTAATGTTTGGGACCCCATCGATTTATCTAAATGAATTTCAAGGCCTCCCGCTATCTGCTTTTTTTCCTGCACCACCACAGGTGACGATGCAGTTCCTTGAATCAATGATGAATTGCTAGAATTGGCCAGTTTTCACACAAGGCTTACCACCCAGAGGAAGTCTACGCATAAGATCTCAAAATACAAAATGAGAGCTTCATGGCTTTTCAAAGAAACATGTGGGACGTTCTAAGCGCAGGCTTTGCAGCCTATCTTCAGGGTCCTAGACGCAATGTTTAAGGCTTAGCACCCAAAGGAAATCTATACATAGGACCCCAAAAAAGAAATCGGAGCATGCCAAGCATTCCTGCTCTAGATGTCTAAAAGAAACATTACATGTAATGCGGGATGTTCTAAGTGCAGGCTTCCCAGCCTATCTACTGAGTTCCGAGACACTATGTTTGAGGTTTACCACCCAGAGGGAGTCTATGCACAAGACCACACCAAAGAAATTGAAGCATGCCACAGCATGCCGCATGCCTCCATTTTTTCATGTTGTTTCAAGGAAATATGCGGGACATGACGTTCTAAGTGTAGGCTTCGCAACTAATCTGCAAGGATCGTAGACGTTATGTAAAAGGCTTACCACTCAGATGTAGTCTTTGCATAAGATCTCAAAATACGAAATGAGAGCATGCATGGCAGAGCATGCCTCTAGATGTTTAAATAAATACTGTATGTGCGTTGCTCCAAATGTAGGCTTCGTATCCTATCTACAAGGGTCCTAGACGCAATGCAAAAGGTTTGCAACCCAGGGGAAATCTATGCATAAGACCTCTACATAAATATGGTCTCTAGATTTTTTCATGATTTTTCATGGTTTGTCAAAGAGATATGTGGGCCGTTCTAAGTGCAGGCTTCGCAACCTATCTACAGCGTTCCTGGAGGCTATACATGAGGCTTACCACTCAGAGGGAGTCTACGCATGAGATCTCAAATAAGAAGTGCCCATTATTGCTTGCACACTTAGAACGTGGGTAAGACTAACGTTCTAACTGACTCACCTAGAACGTCTCTAGCTGCAAATGAAAGTCATTGTTTTTTCTGTGTTTGTCTGCCACTATATATACAGTGTGTATATACAGTCCAAGCACTGCATAAGAATTCCTTGTATAAGAAAATGAAGGGCTGGATTTTTGTTGCCGCATAATTACATGTTTTGTGGAATATTTATGCAAATGGAAGTTAAGAAATTGAGGGACTCTGGAAATTTAAAGGCTAAGAAATTTAGATGTATGTGAAGGAGCCCCTTTGCGCCCCTGCGCAATTTTCTTAACCATGAATTATAAAGATTCTATTTGGAGCGGGAAATGGAGCCTTCCCGATAAGAAATTGAGCGACCCTGGCCATCGGCAACCAACATTCTTATATAATGTCCGCGCTGTGTATATATATATATATATTGGCATTGTGGCCACTGCTGCCGTGCCTAGGGGTCTTGGGAAGTGTCCAAGCTGAATATGAATAACATATGATAACATATAGCATGTGATACAGTTTTCATCCATAGGCGTAACATGGTTTACTATGGTACTAACATGGTATTATAGATTTTTAATGATTTTTATATATTATAGATTTTTACATCGTTTCATCCATCCGCATCTATACCCAAACATCCGCGTGACAAACCATCCCCGGCTTTTAATCCCTGGGGCATCCTGACGTGCTGAATGTCCTGCAGGGGCGAGCAGCGCGACACATGCGCACGCCTCCAAGCACGAAGGTCGCAAGGGACTTTTAGGTGTTGGAACAAATGAGTTATTTCTGTATTTTAGGAGTTGAATATTTCTGACTTAGATTATGCATTCTCCCCAAATTTCGGGGACTTTCATATTTTTCATGAAATGGGTTATCTGATCTCTTAACCTGCAACGGACCTGCAAAAAGTGAGAAGAACTGGTAGACCAAAACCTGATACTTCCTGGGGGGAAATATGATGAATATCATAGGATAATCGGATCACCCAGTCATTCGGATTGTAGGGCTATGTGTATATGTATATATATATAATTAATTATATATATATATAATATGCATCTTCAGCAGGCTCTCACCGGAGTGAACTTCCACGTGTTCTCATTGGGTAACAGGGCCTGCCCAACTGCAACTTGGAATTATCCGTGCGTTTTGTCGATTGGTGCCATTCCAAAGACACGCAGTGCGACACACAAATGCAAAAGGCAAAGTTCTGAAAGTCCTGAATCTATAGAATCAAATATACCTCATGTTCGGACTGTGAATCGTGTTTTTTCAGGATGAAGTATGATATAGATATGCTATTCTTAGGGTATCATAGGATGATTCCCTGCAGCCACGGCAGCCACGGCAGCCACGGCCTGCAGTCTTTGGTGGCTCTGCGCTGTTCCACCAGGACCTGGGGAAGCGAGAAGAATTCTTCTTCAGTTACTTTAGTTTAGATAGATCTGAGATATATTTTATGGGATCTTATGGGACTATACCATCTATGTACATCATATATATATATCATCTAAGTATTATCTAAGTTCTACCAGGAACAGGACCTTGGATATGATATACTTAGATGGGCAATGGAATTACTGCAATGAACTGGTTGATGGAGTTGTATCCCATTGTATACCCACTTATCACCCGGTTACTAACCAGTCAACGAATCTCATGGCCCATCTAAGTATGTGCTGGGCTTACAGTATAGATATTAGTGTTAAATCAGGGTTATATAATTGATATATATATATATATAACATAATATTATGCTAACATATAGTATAAAACGATATGTTCAAATTGATGAAATAAAATATATACTATATTTATATATATATATACACTAGATAAATCATGCTATATTGGAAATATAATGCAACCATATCTAGTATATAATGATATACGTTCAAATTGATTTAATATAATAATATCTATGTATATATATATATGCTAACACATTATATATAATTGATATAGAATGTTAATATATGTATGTGTATATATAATTATGTGTATATATATATATATTGGTAGGAGACTTGTGATCATTTGTTGTGCCAGGTGAAACCACCTGAGACTCATGGTCAGTCATCCAATTCGCAACAGCATCATATTTGTGTGTCAAAATGGGTGATTACATGTAAACAAACACTACCAAAATACCAAAGGTGCATTTTAAGTCATTTTCATGCGGGACATGACAATGAGCCGATAGATTTTGGATGATTTTGGGCGTTTCCCAGTAATGTTCAGACATAGCATGAACATCATGAAATCCAGCCCTGGTGGCCCACCACACCCATCAACAGCCCGGGTGTAAAAGCTCTGAGTGAACCTATTCGGCTATCATGTGTCTCAAAGTGAACCCATAGCTGGAGCACCCATAGCTGGAGCCTTAAAGTTTGCAACCGAAATGACGTCTGTAGTCGTACGCAGTGGAGGGTCTATAGATCACCAGTTGCATCCCCCATTATTCCTCGTGGTGCTGAAGGACCGAAAAGCAACACTAATATCCTCTATAGATTTCCCACATAGTGTTTTTTTTCCATTGGGAACCTTCAACAAATATCTGGTTGATGGTTTCAACCCCTCTGAAAAATATGAAAGTCAGTTGGGATGATTATTCCCAATATATGGAACAATAAACAACTGTTTGCAACCACCAACCAACTATTAACAAATCACCTTCAGCTTCTCCAATGATTCCTTGAAACACCATTGGACACCTTCAACTCTTCGTTGATGGACGGGCACTGGCTTCGACCTGGCTTTGTCAATGCACAGGGTATGTAATTTTATCAACCCAACAATGTGAGGTTTTATAAGCAAATACAGGATATGGATTTATGTCAGATGGATGATTGTGGCTGAATATTGGCACCCACAGAGCACCAACATCATCTCAGAAAATCACATCAGAAAACCACCCCACACGAAAACATAAGGAGAATCTTCAAACATCAAATTCGTTCAAATTCATAACTAATAGTAACTAACAGTTACCAACAGAACTAACCACAACTAACCAACATGCAGTCAATCAATGTCAAGCATAACCCTCAAGGGCTCAGGCTTACATTTTCTCTTGCAATTTAACGTAACTATGGTATATTATGGTCAATCATCGAATCACCATTCAATTCACCATTCATAATAGTTGAATCACCATGAATCACCTATAAATGGACCATGTTCAATCCATTTTCCATAGCTGCCTTCAGTTACTAGAGGTGCCACCAGTGGCTCCATCCTTTGTCGATCTTGCCTGCTAAGAAATGGGGGGTTCCATAAATGGGGGATCCCCAAAATGGTTGGTCTGTAAGGAAACAAATCCTATCCAAATGGATGATTTAGGGGTACCCATGGGTACCCCCATTTCAGGAAACCACCAGATGGGATTTGACAAACCTTCGATGATCCCAGTCTTTAATGCAGCCAAGAATGAAGAACAATGACCAGTGACCAGTGAGCAGTGTCAAAACCTACGAGAAACATCCCTACTTGGAATCATTGGTTAATGCGGATTCCGGTCATGAACCCCTGTGCTATTCTTGAAACTGCTCAGGTACCTGTTGTTTTGTTTCTTTTCAATGATGACCTCCGCTCTCCAAGCAGCCAATCAGCGACACCATGACTATGGCAGCCAGTGTCATGTCTATGATGTCATTGGGCCATGCAGGTCTCAACAAAATTGTCCCACAGATCAAGATTTGCTCCCGGAATCAATCCAGATTCATCACCATAAATTCACCAATCTACAAACATCCAGTATTAGTTTGGAAAGTTACCGGTATACCATTCACATGAATGTGGGAAATCCAATGTCATAAACCTACCAAACTGGAGGATGGTTGAAAAATCGCACCATCGCACCCATAAAAAATGTTGATTCTGGGGATGCCATCCATATTTTGACCACTTTTGACCCATGAATCAGTGCCATAAAAATCGCCCGAGGGACTGTCATCGCAGCACACCAGCAGTGCTCGGAACTTGCCATCCTTCTCTTGCAGCTCCTCCATCGCCTGGTCTTGATCATTACCGATGTCAAAGATGGCAACGGGGAACCTCCCACCGGGTAAACATACAAAAAGATGTGGAAAGCCCATGGCTTATGAAGAATATGATCATTAACTGGTGGATTTACCATATCCATGAAAGTTTACCTTGGGGTACTTATGTTGTTCCTATGTAAATGCTCATTAACTGGTGGATTTCCTATGCCGCGTCTGATTACAGGAGAATGACCATGGTCAAGGGGATGTCATGGGAATAGTCCCGTGCCCCTATAAATTAAACACCCACCCACATGGCACCCTAAAAGGACTAGATGATACTAGATGGAGATGGCTCAAGCTTCTCAACTTCCCAACCTTCCAAAATGATCCAAAACTGATAATAGCTTAAATTTTGACCAATCTGATGTTGATCCACATGTTCTTTAACACTGCGGTGATTGCCGAGTAACATTCCCTTCAAACGAGCACCCCTAAGTTGAAAACGCAACTCCAGGTTCAATTCCATCGGATGCATATTAGTCCGATGTGTGGACTACTCCCTGCCTACTTCAAGATTATGATCTCAAGATTGTTAGTCCATCCCCTTAATCTGGTCAATGATACCATTTTCTTGCTAAAAATTGGGCGTGGTGTTTGATTCTTATAGAAGGCAACTTAATCAAATCAGCAGAAACAACACGCACACACACACAGATTCAAGCTGCAAACGTGCAGCTTAGCAAGCGACGTTTTCGCTTCATCCAGGTTTCCCCCCGGCCTTCAAAATGGGTTGCGGTTGGATTTCAAGTAGGGATGTATCCAAAACCTGCGGTCCAGGGAAAGTGAGGCACCCCAGCTGTAAGTTGCTTTACCCTGTGGTAATCAAACACTTAGCAATAGAAACTTCATTATTTAGTTTGATGATGTTCCCAGCTATGAACCTGCAATGAGTTCCCAGTTCCCAGCTTGCCATGTTTGATGACACCGGAGGGTATAGACCCGGGTATAGAGCCCTTCAACTGTAGATATGCCCACCAGGAATCTTTGTTGTAGCTGTAAGCCAACTCAGCGATCTGTTTGCACCAATCGATTGACCCAGGTATGTCCAAAACTTGGGAACAACCAAGAACCACCATCGGTTTTTAGCCATGGGTTTTTATGTGTTCCTATCCAAACCATTGGTTTTGAGCCATGGGCTATGGGTTTTATAATGCACCATCTCCACTTCCAAGCGACGCAGGGGAGGACCCTTGGCATCGGGATGATAGCCTGATTTTTTTGGGTTTTGATTAGATTTTCACCCATCCCCATATCATATTTTATTCTCCTTTCTGATATCTCTGATCTCTCTGGCGCCTGAGAACAGCCCGACAAATTCTGGGACACTGACCGAAGGATTGTCTGCTACTGGGATCTCCCCTTCGACTGACGACATATGGTATGGAGTACGTGGGATAACCCAAGGAGAGAACTGTTATTTAATGGTTCCCCAGGTGGCTGCTCCAGGATCACTTGTGGTTGGTCGTTTGAAGTTCTTTTTGATTATGCAGTTTTCTGATGGCGTTTCGGGGTAAAATACTACAGGTACAGGCTTTGAACATAAGTTCCACGTGGCATGGCAATACAACCATATACCCTGGCAAGTTAAAGCTGTCCAGCAGCATCCAACCTGTTCATATCTGAGTTATTGCAATTTAAGGCTTTAAGCAAGACAGTACCGAGACCCTCCAAGAATCCAGAAAAATGGTAAACGATGGTGCACAAGTAGTATTTAAACACGTATATATGAGATTATATGAGTAATTTGAGTCATATTAACATCTTATTTTCTTGTTACTTGGAGGGTCTAGTTTCTTGTTTTTGTTTAAATCTCTAACATCAATTCATCCCATGCAGATCAATCCTCGGCCACAAATCCATGGATGGCGTGAATCACACTCTCAGGTTGAAGGACCTGCAGGTGGGAAGGTCCAACAGCTGAAGCTTCACCAGTGAAACACCATGAAAAACATAGGTGAAAACACTTTGGGAAAAAGACAATTGAATGGTGCAACAATAGTGAAACCATGTTCCCCGTATATATTGATATGATTGATTGAATTATATATATGTATATATATATACTAATATATAGATGTGGGAAATATATGGGAAAACCATTAGTATAAGAGTATCACCGTAAAAAAAGAAGGTGGTTTAAGTGAAACATAAGGATTTAACCACTGAACCATGGATTTTGCTGCCTCACTTTGTGCTAAGTTAACGACCATCACTGGGATGACACAACCGGATGGTGGATCTGTTATATGGCCATGGGAACAAGGGACTTTGCACAGCACCCAAGTGTTGGGCATATAATCTCCAACAGATACAGTATTACAAATTATTACAAATGTGATGTTCAAAATCCTCAAAATGGGACTTTTACCAACTCCTGGGAAATGTTTGAGAGTAGGCAATGCTGGGAATGACATAACAAAGGTTTGATGATGCTTACTAACGGTCAATGATGATTGACGGCAAACAAAGCTGGGAAGGGCAAACCCAGATGCTTAAGGTGTAAGTAGATCATCTACACGTGTCACATGAGTGATTTTCTGGAAGATCACCTGAGGTACTGCTTGTTCCAAATCACCATGGTGGGGTCTCAATATTCCTGAATTGGGATTCATGCCAGGCTGATATGATCCAGGGATGTCTAACATTTGGTGAACTCTCAATTCCAGGACATGAGAAACATGTAGGTTCTCAGTGTCAAACCTAATTAGGCCTGCAAGCCAACAAAAACTTCAAGATTTCACAACCCTTCCAGTCATGGCTAATCTTGTATGCTCAGCAAAGATATTATATATCTAGTCTATATTTACAGTATGTATCTTCAAGCAGGGTAGTATGTACTCTAGTAGGCTATAGTGGTGGTAAACAATAAACAAAATAAACCATTAGATCGTACCCTCCACCAAGCAGTTTTCCCCTGTGTGCAGGGTCAACCCCCTGATTTTGTTTTAAAATCCCCGCGGTTGTTGATGATCAACGATGGAACTCGACTCCATTTTTTCTTGCTAAAACCTGCATTCAGTTCCTTCACCCTGCACCTTCAACAGCATGAGTTGCTCGAAGCATGTGAGACCTGGTGAGGTCCGCTGGATGGTGGACTTACAAACTGCACCTGAATTTGTGTCCCCCAGCAGCAACTTTTTTGTTTTGGGCCCAAGAATACCGTGGCAATGGACAATTCTCATTAAACCTCCATTAAACCACGGTATTCTTGGGGGAATCAATGATGATTTTCCCATTAAACTTCCATTTATGGGGGAATTCTCCTTTGCAACGTTTGAAGAACTCATCCCATTAGAAACAACAATTTATTTATCGGCAACCAACCATCATTTATAAAGGATACTCCTATTTGTTTGATAACTAGCTCCCTACAAACCATGCATGGTTGAATCACCATTATATAAACATTTAAACAACGGCGACCTGCTCATTGCTTGTTCGGAAGCTAGGGTGAAGGCCATCGTAGTTCATATCCTTCCCGCGAGTTGGAATGGACCTAAGCCGATGGAGGACGATGCTGGAGATTTCTCTCCCCGTTGCAGGTATCAATGGATTGGTTTAAGGGGAAATCTTAACCGGAAACCATGGTTTTTACCATGAAATATAGGGGTTTCCTGTAAATTTTCCCATCATCCAATTCTATGAAGGCACCCTCGGGAAAACAACACTAGCGATGGTCTCTACTATTGCCCCATTGACAGTAGCTGGATGATTTACCTATCAAATCCTATCAACAATTACTCTAAAACAAATGGTGAGCCTTCGCCGTGTTCGGGTGGGACCCGGTGGGTATACTTGGAGGTTAAACATAAAAAGTAACGAGGTTAGAAAGTGGGCTTGTGATAGACCAGTTGTAATGGGAAAACCTTGCCTTTTTCAGCCACAGCCGATGACTCGTTCAAGTGGAAATAGCATATAACAGCTTAATGACCGGTGTTGGGATAAAACAGTTACAACCCATGAAAGAAAGGTCTTGACCACCAAATTCCACCAATTTCATACCACTACTTTCTAGTTGCTGATACTCCTGGAAACAGTTAAGCATGCTTGAAGCACATGCCATCAACAGCCTGAACGAAAACAACCGCTCATCAACATATATACTCACTCTGATTGCTTGCATCTCCATACAATTCCATACATATCTTTTCTTCAATGAATTCAACTCCAGGTTTTGTTGATTTATTTCAGACAGCGTTTACGCCATGGCTACTCTGGGGTCTTGCCAAGGGTTGCCCCTGAGCTACCCCTGCATTGTTTGAATCTTCTCGGCCTGCCCCACGAAAAAAAAAGATTAGATCAAGGCCCTAAATTTTCTTGAACCTGTAAGATGATTCCCCTTCCAATCATCTATGAGATGGTTGTGAGGCTGCAGCTACCCAGATTCGTGATTAATCCGATTAATCAGGATTTCCAACATTTTCATGGTCCGATTTCCATAGTAACATTAAAGTCAATGGCCAACCATTTACTGTATTTCTGATGATAGTGATGGCGACGGAGCTTGGTGGAGGTTCCAAAAACCGGGGTGGACCCTACCTCGTTTTCCATGCGATCTCGTTCGTTTTGATTGCTGACCTCGTTTTCCAATCCTAAGCATCATTGATCGCTTTTGGGTAGGCCGGTTAGGTCACAACATAATTAGGCATCATGCCAGAGCCATCCCTCTAGACGTGGCATCTCACAGTAGATACCATTCTTTTCTCAACTAATCCATCCAGTAATTGAACAATAGCCATGGAAGGTAGGCCATTTATGGCCATTTATAGTTGATCTATGTTGATTTATTTGGATTTATATACCTATGAAAATGGTGATATTCCATGTCATAAATTGATATAAATTGTTAGTTTACCAGCTAAAGAAAGCCCGGGTATCCCAAGGATATCATCGCAACCACGCCTTCTGCTCCTCTTCCTGGGCAGAACTCAGCTGGTGCTTCCAAGCCCTGAAAATCATATGCTCATGGGGATTCATCATCTCAAATAGGGCTGAACATGTTGAACATTGGAAAAAAAAACTATGAAATCACTAACCGGACTGTATTTTGCGGATGATTTTGGAAAAACCGTGCTCAATTCTCGGACACAGTTCTAAAGAGTTTCGCAGGAAAGAAAAACACAAAGATTACTGTAAGTTAACATTACCATCCCCATCCATCCCCACATGATGTTTTTCTCCACTATCATTGTGTCTTGAATTCTTTTCCCCATCTCCTGGAACATCATATTGGCTGACAGCGAAAACATGTTGGGATAGAAAATACAACAACTCATTCTTATCAGTTGAAGTACCCGAACAAAAATGGTGTTGATTCATAATCAAAATACATCATATACATTTACATCTAACATCAATGAATCAGTATGTGGGTAAAACAATGCCACAAACCACGCATTTGGGAATGGTAAACATACCACCTATAAAAATGGTGCTTTGGGGGATGGTTTATTTTGTTCAAAGGTATTATATAAAAACTAACAAAGTTCCCAAATGCACCACCGGTGCCTCCTCCTCCTCCTCAAGCTGGTCCTGGGAGCCTGTGAGCCAAGGTGACGAGCAATTGTGCCGTCTCGAGTAAACTGTTGCATGGTGTTTCAACTATTACCAAATATCTGGACACATAGTTTATTTTAATTCACGTCGACATGACATGTTTGGCTATTTTGGGATTATTTGCTCTTACTTACCCCAATTCCATACAATTCCAGTGAAGTCGCGGTGCGGTTGCCGTAATTTACCCAGAAATATATGTATTGCCATTGCGAATAGTTGATCTAAACTCTTATGAAATCTTATGATTATCTATTCTGAGTCAATCATCTTCCCTCCATTAAGCCAGCGTAGATATGGACATTCCTCCGGAAATGTAGATCATGTTCGGGGTAACACATGAATTTTCAGATAGCTATGGAAAATCACCATTTTTAGGGTCATTGAATTGTCATCATAATGCTGTTGGCACAGCTGATATTCGAGACAACCAACCAACCAACCGAGCTCGAGAGTTTGACTCTGCACAACTTGCCAACAACCTGACTTCCCCTGCAAATCATCCGTTCTTTTGGAAGGATTACGTAGGTTTGAATTTGTCGTCACAGAGTAGAAATGACCCTTCATACCCATAAACATCCACAAACATCCACAAACAATCATAAACATCCATAAACATCCATAAACATCCATAAACATCCATAAACATCCATACATAAACAAACTTAAATATCAGGAACCATGCAGATCCATAAACAACTGCAATAAACATCCAAACCTGGGTGCTCTCAACCTCTAAATTTTGGGCATTGGGGTCATCCCAACTATATGATTGAATAACACATATAAAACATATAAAACAAATGTATATATATATATTATTCATATATATATATGTATATATGAAACCAGCCAGCGGTTTTTCGAAATCTTTCGGACTCTTGGCTTCTCCCAATCTGATCCAATCCCACAGAGCCCCCACAGAGCCTTCGGAGCCTTCGGAGCTTTCGCCGTCCGCTGACCTTTCGCCAAGCGGGTGCCGAAAAACCGTTGTTTTTGCATCTTGGTCACAGATTTGGCAATGGCAATGTGTACCTGCTAAGGTCGATTTGTTTAAATTTCTTCTGAGTTCAGAAATTTGAGCAAATCTGGCATCCACAGTGGAAATTTCCATTGACAGTGTTTTTACCCGTTCGAGGCCGTTCGCCCAGATTCCTGGCACCAGGACAACCACCCTTTTTCCCAACTCCGCATCATCCAGCATGACATGCACGCCTTGAAGATGATCTACATTGGATGCTGATGGGGTGTTATCCAAAACACAAATTTTGCAGCTAAATAAGCGTAATTAGTTGGTGAAGTGGATATAATCTAGACTACATATGTTAACCCAGCAAAGAGATCCAGCGAAGTCCAATTCTATAAAATTGGATTATCTTGGTGAGCCATGGGAAGCCATGCGTGGTGTGTCAGCAAAGTTTCACTGGGAGGCATGGCCGTCATGGGTCTGGTCTGTAGGGAATTTGACGGCCAACGCAAATCAACTAATAATCAACTATATTGTATATATAGATCTTTGTGAGTTTTGGGGGCCATTGTGGGCCCGTGTTTTTCTCATCCCAAAATTGTTTATCCATTTTCGATTTCTGGTGACAGAAAAAGTGATCAAACCCCATGGTGAGGCAAAATGATGCAAATAAAGATATTCCCCAGTGTGGGTGCCAGATCTGATTCGTATATATACATAAGTTTCTGAACCAAGAAATTTCAACATGAAAACCTTATATATAGAAACCCAACAGAGCACCCACTTGCAGTCTAGCACCGGTAGCCCCTCAGAGCATCATCATGCACCACACATCCTGCGCCGCAGCTGCTGCCAGTCAAGCTTTCGTGTGGGGTTACAGGCAACCCTGCAAATGGTGCGGTCTAGAAGCTCCAGCAGTGGTGTCAGCTATGATTCGTCAAATTGCCCCAAACCACAGGCTTCAGGATACCCCTTGGATAATCTGGCAGCTGAGTGGGACAACACCCCAGAGGTTCGTGATCGAATGAGGGCTGGGGATCATTTGATGAAAGCATGGAACCCCACGCTCATGAGTGCGACGAATGATTTTGTTGACCATACCGTCGAGAACATCAGAGCGAACGCTTGCGTTCTTAGCGCGGTCTTCAAGAGAATGGCCCAACATGAACGGGACATTCCATGCATTGACCGCATCATGGATCAGGTTCGTGATCTTTACCAGCGTTGCAAGGTCACTTTCACAAAGCACCAAGACCGGGTTTACCAAGACTCATGGGCTGTTAGGCGCATGTGCACTTATGCAAAGGCCCAAAGGTACAGAGATGGACCCCCCAAGGAGCCAAGGGTGAAAGAAACATGTTTTATCCATGTTTGCTTGAAATACTTACCCTCTGGTAAACTAACATAGCTATTGAAAATGGCCATTTATAGTGTATTTACCCATATTAAAAATGATGATTTTCCATAGCTATGTTAGTTTACCAGAGGGTATTCGTTTTATACATTTTTGGGAGGTGCAGAACAGGAACCACCCATGGTGCAACTGCATGTTCCCGCCACCACTCCTGTGATCCCTGAAGGATGCAGTCTTGCGCAGCTTGATGTATGACCTTGGCTACAAGGACGAGGACTCTTCATGTGCCTGCATGGCACATGCCATATATTTGACATACTTCGGGTATATACGCATAAATCATCTATACATTTTTTAGAATTCCAAAAAACATCTATCTATATATATATATATATAAAAATGTGTCTATACATATATATATATATGGCTTTTGATAATGCATCCCTGTATATATTTTGAATACTTGCCATCCACAAGTTTCCCCTGCAATAGGAACATATATGCATTTGCTCCATTGTCGCTTTCACCCGTGCAGGATTTCCAGCGCTCTAGGTCAGCCAGATCTTTGGAGTCACAGGACAGACCATCCTGGTGATGGGATGGGAAGCCAAATGCGGAGAAATAAAAAAAGAGAGTTACTTAACCTTATATACTTGAGAAATGTTGGTTATCAATCCATGTATATATATATATATTCCCTCATATGTGTTGTATAGTTGGAAAGGTTAGTCTTTCTTTCCCCACACCCCCATCTATCAAAACGCTCATTTTCAGGAGTCGTCACCCGCAGCTTCGACGACTACATCAGCAGCCCCTTCTGAAACTTTGGCACCGGGCGGAGGTCTTAGAAGAGTGTCATCTGAGCCCGTTCTTGGTGGGCCAGCAGTTGAACCAGCCGGAGAACCAGAGCTTCCACTCCCAGAAACCGGGGATATTGATCAGAACATCCTAGATACCCTCGACTATTTGGCAAGTATCCCAGAGGAACAATGGTGGCAACCGTATTCGCCCAAGGAGGACATGGACTGAACAGTCCTGATCAAACAAGTTTATCTTAATTATCAACAGTATAATCCTTGTTATATACAACATCCAATTGTGTTCCCAGGGCTAACCATGAACATTGGAACATCACGAACGGTCAGTGTGGTATAGATATATGGTGTTAGATGACTTGCATGTAATGTAGATGACAAATTGCAATTCCAATCTTTACCCTGCATGCCAAAAGAAATATCATGTGTCATTTGTAACGTAGGGCCCCTGCAGGAAGATCATGGTGTGGTGGAAGTTCCTTCAGGCTCAGAAGATGAGGGACTTTCGTCTTTGAACAAAGACAAAGAAATTGCCCATGGAGTTGAAGATCTGGTCGCCGAACTTTCTTTGTTTCTTGACTATATTGTCTTTATATATATATATTTAAACAAAAAAACATACGCATCTATATGTTTATATATAATATATTTAGAGATGAGATATAAAGGTCGAATGATATACCCGTCTCTCATTATAACGATTTGTTTCTTTTCATTATCTCATGCAGCCAAAGTTCAATCAAGAAGCCCAAATCAGTCTACAACGCCCATCATCCCCCGCTTCCAAGGCTGGACCCCAACGCACTGGAGGACATCCTGAACCAGGTTTCCGGGCAGTCAGCAACGAGCAAGGTTGAAGGCACCTTGGCCGTTCCAAAGCATGGGCGAGGGTTCAAGATATCATATATTTAATGGGGAAGTAACCATGTCGGTTCAATCCTATATAAACATATACACATTCATTTTATGGTTTGGGCGTGTATATGACCATGAATGCCCCAGGTGAGGCACCGACCTACGTCAATGATTCGATCCCCCTTGGCAATGACGCAGATGAGACCCAGCAGTATGTCCCAGCGGAAGAACTCCTCAACACACCTTTTATGAAGGAGGCATTGTTCAAAGAGGATAAGGCACAGGAAGAGGCCAAGAGTAAGGCAGTGAATGAGGCTAGGAAGGAGGAAACTCTATATAGTCATTTTCCTCGACACATTCCACCCGTTTTTTTTTCAGAGGGAATCGCATCTATAAGTTTTTTCCCAAATATATATATATATATATGTATATATATAAATATGTATGTTCATCTATATATATACTTAATTATGTATATTCATCTGTATATATATATATATATTTATATTTATGCGCCCGCACCCTGTCCAGGCTGACTTCGACATGACAGTGCCAGACCATCCCCCCATGACCCGTCGCCAACAGTTCAAGGTCAAGGCCGCAATCAAGGAAGAAAAACTTGCCAAGAAAGGGACAGGAAAAGGGAAAGGGAAAGGTAAAGGGAAGGGAGGCAAGGCAGCCAAACACAAAGGCCGCAAGAAGGGCAAGAGCAGTGCCAAACAGGACAACACCAGCATCACCAAGAAACGATCCAAACTTTTGAGTTCCAGAACTCGGTCCTCAAAACGAGCCACTCTGATCAGGGCCAAAAGCAAGCGCAATCTCTCAGAAAGCCCGTCGAGCACACCACAGAAGATGGACACCATCAAACCTGCAGAAGAACAAGCATTGGCAGCAGCAAGAGCCACAAGTGTCACCAAGAAACCAAAGGTAGCCAAAGACGCCCCTGTTGGCCAGTCCCCGAAGCCCAAAGCAAAGGGCCGATCAGCAAAGGCGAAAGCCAAAGCTGCAGCAAAATCCACACCGGGGAAAAAAACTGTAAAGGCAAACGCAGGGAAAACAGAGGGAGATGCAAAGAAAGGCAGGAAGCCCAAGGAGTTTGTCCCATGCTCCGACGCAATTCAGCAGGCATCGCAACAGGCATTGGGTCCATATGGCAATTTAAGTCTGGAGAAGATTATGGCAGACACAGGCGAGGATCTTGTCAGCCCAGTTGTCAAGTTTGTGATGGCAGGTATCTTGAAGGACTGTAGGATGTCTGGTTGCAAAGCCCATGATTTGACCCCTGTGGATTGTGCCGCTATCCGGTACGACATGTACTACAAGAGGCCTGCCGTTGGTATCAGGGTCAAAAGTGACCTAGTTCGACATGAAGGCGACCATGGTGATGGTGGGAAGCCCGGCAAGACCTACATGTCGGCTTCCTACTTTAAGAATGGCAGCTGCATGTGTACCAATTTCGGTGTTGCGCAGATCTATGCCCCTTGTTTCAAACACATGTCATGTATTAAGGCTTTCCTCGATCATTGAACGACATAAAGTGTTTTTTTGTGTTTATCTCTGCATGTTAGATAGACCCCAAAGTGCAAATGCACCCAAAGGGAAAATCCCAACCGTTCCCACAAAAAAAAATCATTATGTAGCTGTGTTTCCCTTTTCGCGGATGAGGTTGGTCACTTCTTGGCAACATGGGACGGATCCGCATTCCTGAGCCCTGGGCATAGCTCCTTGGAGTCTTTGAAGGAGGTCCTCCAAGCAACGCTCGAGGCTACTGAGAAAGAATTTTCACCGGTAAAAGTGAAACCGGCGACCCGCAAGAAGCGGGCCGCTTCGGATTCTGGGGATGTCTAAGTTTCCTTGGTGGGCTTGAAACTGCATATGTCTCAAAGAAAGTTCATGGGGATAGGTAAAAACGAAATGGCTCACTCCAGTAATTTTATATATATATATAATTACAATTACGCACACTTT